TATCCTTTGCCAAGTCTACTCACTAACACAGAGTAGATGGGGACGACAATTTCTAGCCAGAATTGCGGCTTTAACTTTAGGAGGATTAGGAGAAAAAAAAACAGTAGTTCGGCTGCGAGATCACTGCAGGTGGGTACAACCCCGTCCGCACCAAGTCTACCAAGAAATCGCCGACACGAAGAACGCGCAACGGGCCCTGCGATACAGCCTGAGTGTCCGTAGGTAGTGGTTGCTCTGGACGAAGTCGGAAAGAGGCACACAGATAGAGAGTTTCAGCTGTAATCTCTATGCCTCATCCGCATAGTGGGCTCACTGGCATCTCAACCGACCGAATGGTCCCGTGCATTTATACTCAGATTGATCTCTTGGACGTTCAGGGTACCACTGGTGGGGTGGGCAGGACAGTCAACATGCATGTCCCTCTTGGAGTACATCCACCAACCATTCGACAGCGAACTATGTGTTCGCATAGGATCCTTTCTCGGAAGGCTACAGCATCTATAAGTTTTTGTCGCTGTGAAAAGTGTCCCAGGATACTGGTGCTGTCGGCTTGAGGTTGATCACTTAGGAAGTTAGTCTCCCTCAAGTGCGGACACTCCAGTATCTGACATGGTCGTAACCTTATATAATTTTTTTTCGGTGAGCCTGCATCCTAGCGGTGCAGCTTGAAGAAGGAATTCAAAAAGTTGCTAGGCGCAACTGATGAGCAGGGGTGATTTGAGCGGAGAGTTCTCGATATCTTTGGAGATGTGTTGGTTTGACAGTGCGTCTTCGTTGTGGTGATTTTGGACCGAGGCCTGGCTTTGACCCGTACCGAGGATTCTCTCCAAAAGCTGTGCTTCGGATCACACATGATGTGTAGGTAAACTTCTGCTTAGACTCGCTTTTCGTTGTACGATTTTTGGTAGGCTATCTTCATCATCCATCCAAAGTTAATATGGTGTTGCATGGAGTCGGTGAGTGGTTTGCGATAGGTCCCGCACATCTGCGGCACATTATCCACGTTCCACAATGTTGTTACCCCAATATCGGAGATTCCCAGAAAGAAAAATTGCCGCATGATTGGAATCGGAACCAGTAATAGACATCGGTCATCATCAGTTCGTATAACTCACGACTAGACTGAAAAAGACGTTCGGACCTTGCGTGGAGCTATCAAGGCGCCTATACCGTACAGTATATTGAAACAAAAAGAAAGTGACTTTATGCACAACCGAATGCAACAGTCGTACCGGTAACGGAACCAATCTCATATCCACATCATTCCTTGGATCACGATCAGCTCGGCGGTCCAAGAATCGTGAAATCACAATATCAGAGGAGGCTCACAAACTAAGGCGATCAGCAATGCCATTAAATAAGATTTCTCGAAAGATTCCATACAATCAAGCCAAACCCTTGCCCTGCCCATGGTACTCTGTGAAACTTGGAACGATCTGGTGGGTCATGGCACCCGGGTTGCCGCGACGGCACGGGCGCTTGTACACGCTGTCCGAAAATGCCTCAGTCCGGCATGCAGCGAAAAGATTCTATATGGAATAGCGTTGTTGTTCAATGAGGCTGTGTCTTGCGGACAAACAGTCGTCAGGCACCCTGGTACCGGTATGTTGTCCATGGCTGTTATGCATGTCTCTCCATGGATTCACTTCCTCATCCTTCATGTGACGGTCTTCTCGTGCCTGGAAGCAGGCATGGCCGGAAGCCTTCGATAACTTGACATGTAGTACGACTTTATATGTCTTTACCGATGGCCCCGTGCGTCAATTTTTGGATACTTTCACTGTAGCTGAGGGTTGCGTGGATAGCACGGTGCGAGATGTGGGTATCCTAAATGTGGACTTGTGCGTCGGCCGGGAACATGGTAAAGAGCGCTGTTGCCGGGACGCGGCCCAGCGTGTGCAAAGGATCTCGTCAGATCTGGCCAGGCAGGAGAAAAGGTGGACAGCAGTAAGCCGGACCATGTGGGGATGGCGATATAGAGTAGATAGGTTGTGGTAGTTCGAGGTATGCACCGCTAAGTCGCGTGACCACTTCGCTTGCAACTTCCCCCACATCGGCGTACTCCCATCAGCATAGGGTGTTATCTGTCGTCCAATCCCCAATGTTTCGTACCGGTACATTCCATAACACCCATAACAAGGACTCGGCAAGACAGTGGCAGATTGGCAGGTGTTCTGGTAAACACACACCATATCATCTCTCCACCAGCTGCGTTCGGGCCGGCTTCTTTCCAGATCAACATTCGACAAACTACCTACCATACCACATCAAGTATCTGATACCAAGAGACGATGGCTTTTGAAAGTACAGAGGTAACCGAACCAAGTCGACTGCTATGCTTGCCATTCGAGCTGCGAGAAGAAATCTGGACGTATCTCTTCAACTCCACGAGACTATCGTTCGGCCTGCGATACTCTCCCCGCCATGGGGAGCGGCTCATGAGACCAGCACCGCATTCTTTGGCCCTCTTGCGCATCTGTCATCAAACCTACGCTGAAACGCACGACATCTGGATCCAACGTGTACTGTTCAATTTTGAAGATCCACAAACAATGCTTAACAAACTGTCGGAGATACCAGAGTCTACCGTGGCTAAGATCCGTCATCTACGACTCGTTGGCTCTCCCATGATGCGCTATCTCAAAGGTTTCGATGACTTGATGTACCGACAGGACTCGGTGTTCCATCTCGTCCCTGCCCTCCGACTTGATTGCCTGACTATCATCGCCGTGGCCCCTGCTGCGCCAGAGTACGATGCTGTCACGAACCTGATCAATCGTGGCAACGGCTGGAAAGAGCTTCGATACATTACCCGAAGTTCGCGCATGCTCGGCTTCAGCCCATCTAGAAGCCATGGTTCTCGTGAAACAGGAGACATTCGTCGCCAGCCTCAACCCAGGTTTTGGAACAAGAAGCTTTTGAACAGAGACGGCGAAGGGTCAGGAGCCGTCATTGAAGTATATCGTACTCTCGAGGAAGATGATCCAGAATCTGTGCTCTGCCCCTCCCGACGTGAGTTGTTCGAGCAGAACCCTGAAGATGGACTCAAAGACTTTGGACTGGTGGACGACGAGGCAATGACGAAAGGTGCTGGCGCCCGAAAAGCTCTTCTTGTTTCGGTGAAGCGAGGTGATAATGTCGACTTTTCTCAGCGCTCACCAGGTTATGGCAAAGAGAGAGACATGAAGGCAAGATTCAACAAGAGAAGCTGGCGAGCGCGTAAAAAAATCATCATATGGACTCCCTTGGACAAAGAGAAGGACGACGACGACGACCACGTTGGCAATGGATGGGCGCGGCCTCAGATTCGTCAACCCATGCAGGCCTGCGACAACTACTATGATATCGATGAGATGTGAAAGCCGGGTGTACTTTTTTGACTCATCAGCAGATATTTCGAAGCTCTTTCAGTCATTTGTATGTGTTTTCGACTCCCCGACCCTTACTATTTCGAGATGATGCTGCCAGGGGCGTTTGGCCTCTGAGCAAACCTTGCGATAGCATAGATGCTTCTAGCCGCAAGAGTCCATAGAGCCATGACCAGATGTGCAGTTCCTATACCCACAAACCTATGATATGTTTTGAACCCGCTCACAAGAAGATTGTATGCGCCTGCTTCCAAACGTAAGCTGTAATGTCATGCATTCAGTACTTTCCGATCAGCTATTGAACAATGGGAACTTGACCCGAGTTGAATAGCCACATCAACAAACGAAGGCGTGGCAGCTACCCCGCCAAGGCCTGTCGAAGTCATCAGAAATGGGTTGTTGACGATGGTTGCACAGGCGTCGCGTATGTGAGTACCGGTAGACGCGTCTTGGGACAAGTCGTGTTGACAATACCGTACCTAGGCACGGTACCGGTACCCAAGTGGGAAACTGGCCGTGCTCTGGGCCATTGTAACCAACAGTGACCGGGCGTGCGCCGGAGTCCACCAGCCATCTTGGCTCGCACGGCTGTCGTGATACCGGTAAAGCGTGGGTCTTGTGATTGCGATAGCCGAACCTCTACCGGTATGTGCTCTATTCCAAGGTTGTATTTCCAGGCGCTGATATTCTGTAGTTAGATCTACCGGTACTGGGCTACTCTAGATGAATGTATCTGCTAGGTACCCATTATCTCGCGACGGGTGTAGGTACTGTACCGGTAGGTAACTACCATAGGTAATGGTCGATGCAAGGATCCCTCCTCATCAAAAGCCCAATTTCATCGCCCAGTGCACGATCGCCCGAGGGACCAAGAGAACATACATAGTACGACCCACGTTGATACCTTAATTCGGTTCGCTCACCCCAGATTGCCCCCTTGTAGGCTGAACTAAGTTAGCCAGATCTTGGTCGGCTTTGTACACAGTAGCTTCGTCAACGGGTCGACCAGACTTTGTCGCTCAGCATCTTCAGCACCGTCAACCGCCATTAGCATCATCAACCCAGGAACGTCTTGCGCACTAGAACTGTAACGCGCGGTGCACTATCAAGGTTTCGAGCATGGATCTCAGTAACTAGATCCTATAACGCACTCAGCTTGCTGTGCGCACTTTACATCCTTGGCCTTTGTCACGGGTTGAGGACGATTCCAAGGGGTTTGGCAGTCAGCCACGACAGGCGCTCGCCATCATACCTATTTGCATGCTAATATTTTTTGGCAGCATTCATGCCTTGAAGCTACAACATCTGGCATTTGCTGTGATCAACGACATCTACGTCCCGCTATCATACCTCGGCATATATGCCTTTTAGCAATTCAATATTTCTATTGTGCCGACGGCGGTAACCTCCTTAATAATGTCCGAGGTGAGTGTGCGCGCCCAAGTTACGTTGCCTTTCTAGCTATCTCGTCTGATGTGACAAGGAGTAGGCTGACCTCTCATTTGTAGTATACTGGCGCATCCTTGCCAGTCTGTGTAGGCCAGGGTGTACGAAATGGACAGACAGATGTAGAATATGGGTATAGTGGCGAAGGCATGCCCGAGAGCATTCAAGATATGCGGCCAAATGGCGATGATGATGATGAAGAAGAAGAAGACGAGGATATTGACAATCTTATTGAAGAGTTGGAATCTCAAGATGGCGATAATGCGGACTATGAAGAGGAAGAGGTCCAACAATCAGGAGGCGCACGACTCATTCCAGAAGAACTTCTCCAGACCAACACTCGAACCGGCCTTACATCCGGAGAAGTTTTCCTACGTCGCAAGCAGTTTGGGTACAACCAGATGAAAGGTACGTGCTAGCAACGCTGGTTTTGAATCTGCTAGCTGACCATCGGTAGAGGAGAAAGAGAATCTCGTTGTGAAGTTTTTGATGTTCTTTGTTGGTCCGATACAGTTCGTCATGTTATCGGCAGCGATACTTGCGGCAGGTCTCCAGGACTGGGTCGATTTCGGCGTCATATGCGCATTACTCGTCCTGAACGCGTGCGTTGGCTTCATACAAGAATACCAAGCTGGCTCCATAGTCGACGAACTCAAGAAGACGCTGGCATTGAAAGCTACCGTGTTGCGTGACGGTGCTCTTGTCGAAATTGAGGCTCCAGAAATTGTACCAGGGGATTTGCTGATGCTTGAAGAAGGGGTTATAGTGCCAGCAGATTCAAGAATTGTGACGGAAAGCGCATTTCTCCAAGTCGACCAATCTGCCATCACCGGAGAGTCACTTGCAATTGACAAGCACCGCGGCGATACCTGTTACGCTTCTTCAGCCGTGAAAAGGGGCGAGGCATTCGTCGTGGTCACAGCAACAGGAGATTCCACCTTCGTTGGCCGTGCTGCATCACTGGTCGCTTCATCATCCGGAGGAACTGGACACTTCACCCAAGTCTTGCATAACATAGGCTTGATACTCCTGGTCCTGGTCATATTCACACTACTTGTGGTGTGGATCAGCTCATACTACCGCTCGAATGACATTGTACACATACTCAAGTTTACCCTCGCCATTACGATTGTTGGCGTCCCTGTGGGTCTTCCTGCCGTTGTTACCACCACCATGGCTGTCGGCGCCGCCTATCTAGCTAAGAAGCAGGCTATTGTGCAAAAGCTCTCTGCTATCGAGTCCCTTGCCGGGGTGGCTGTTCTATGTTCCGATAAGACCGGGACACTCACCAAGAACAAATTATCACTAGCCGAACCATATACCGTCAATGGAATTGAGCCGGAAGATCTCATGCTTACTGCATGTTTAGCAGCATCTCGAAAGAAGAAGGGCATCGACGCAATCGACAAAGCCTTCCTCAAAGCTTTGCGGTACTACCCGCGAGCCAAAAATGTGCTCAGCAAGTACCGTGTCGTCGAATTCCATCCGTTCGATCCAGTCTCCAAGAAAGTACAGGCCGTCGTCGAGTCACCACAAGGAGAGCGCATCATCTGCGTCAAAGGTGCGCCGCTATTCGTCCTTCGAACCGTTCAGGAAGGCCTAGCTCTCCAAGATCTCGAGGTGCCTCAACCCATCATCGATGCGTATAAGAACAAGGTTGCCGAATTCGCCATGCGTGGCTTTCGTTCACTCGGCATAGCGCGGAAACGAGGCAAAGAGCCCTGGGAAATTTTAGGCATCATGCCATGCTCAGATCCACCTCGCCATGATACCTACCGCACACTCAACGAGGCGAAGACTCTTGGATTGAGTGTCAAGGTATTGAGCGGTGACTCCGTTGGAATTGCTCGTGAGACTGCTCGCCAACTTGGCCTTGGTACCAACTTCTTTGATGCCGAGAAGCTCGGTCTGGGTGGCGGTGGAGAGATGCCCGGTTCAGAAGTCTATGACTTCGTTGAGGCTGCAGATGGCTTTGCTGAGGTGTTCCCTCAGCACAAATACAATGTGGTCGAAATTCTACAACAGCGTGGTTACCTTGTTGCCATGACTGGCGATGGGGTGAATGACGCACCGTCATTGAAAAAAGCCGACACCGGAATCGCGGTACAGGGCGCTTCGGACGCTGCTCGCTCAGCGGCAGATATTGTGTTTCTTGCTCCTGGTCTCTCCGCCATCATTGATGCACTCAAAACATCACGGCAGATTTTCCACCGCATGTACGCCTATGTCGTATACCGAATTGCCCTATCTCTTCATCTTGAGATTTTTCTCGGACTTTGGATCGCTATCCTGAATGAGTCGTTGAATCTTCAGCTCGTTGTCTTTATCGCCATCTTCGCTGATATAGCAACGCTAGCTATTGCCTACGATAATGCACCGTACAGCAAGACACCTGTAAAATGGAATCTACCTAAGCTGTGGGGCATGTCCATCTTGCTTGGTGTGATCCTTGCAGCAGGCACATGGATCACCTTGACCACCATGTTTCCATACCAAACAAGTGAGCGGCAGGGTATCGATGGGGGCGTGGTCCAAAATTATGGACGCCGGGATCCGATACTCTTCCTCGAAATCACTTTGACAGAAAATTGGCTCATCTTCATCACTCGTGCGAATGGCCCGTTCTGGTCTTCTGTTCCTTCATGGCAGCTATCATGCGCTATCTTGGTTGTCGACATTGTTGCTACTCTTTTTACCATCTTTGGCTGGTTCGTTGGCGGACGAACCAGTATAGTAGCCGTTGTGCGCGTCTGGCTGTTCTCATTCGGTGTCTTTTGCGTCATGGGTGGAGTGTACTATCTGCTCCAGGGAAGTCAAGGTTTCGACAACTTGATGCATGGCAAGTCACTGAAGAAGAACCAAAAGCAGAGGTCATTGGAAGACTTTGGTGAGTCCCGCACAATATGCAATTGTCGAATGTGACTGGCACTGATTCATGGTAGTCGTCTCGTTACAACGAGTCTCAACACAGCATGAGAAGACGACGTAAGATAGAGGGCTGACGGCTTTCTTGTGATGCGAGAAGTGGACTGCGTCGCAGTATTTTCTTGATTCGTTGTTCGAGAAGGCCATTGATCGTCCAAGACATGCTACAGGTACCGGGAACATCTCTTGCAGAGTTCGGCAATTCGCATGTTCACGTTGCCGATCACACACGAGGATGACGTTGAAGTGGAACAAGAAAGCATAAAAGACCACATGACAGCAGAGTTAAGTGATGGATGATCAATGGGTGCTAGTTTGCTATGATGTACTCGTTGATTGGGCTCTGACGTATCTTGATGACAAGACGACTAGTGTTGATCTGGTATTTGAATTGCGCGGCTTCGGAGCACGGCACTGACGCTAACCCGCAACGCACCCACCCCGCCTTCGATAGAGCCAGAAGACGGGATTCATGGTATCAGAGGCCGATGATGTTTTGTAATCACAGTCGGCAATCCTCTGTTGCGAACTCCCAGACTTTGTTGAAGATCAACTGCCACCGTATGATTCATCTTCCTGCAATCTAGACACCAACTCTTCTCTTCTTCTACACTCACGCGCCTGCAATCAACACGACTATTCGTAGCTATGGCGGGGCTCGATCTAACCCTCCCGCACTTGAAGCTCAATGATGGCAACAAGATGCCAATGCTCGGTTATGGTACCGGAACAGCATGGTATAAGATGGGCGAAGAGGACAAGATAGACCAGGCTATAATTGATGCTGTCCAGATGGCAATCAAGTTGGGCTATATACACCTAGATGGTGCCGAGAGTGGGTTTCTCATCAGCAGTACTGAACAATGACGAACATTTCACTGAAGTCAACGGCTAGTGTACAAGACCGAGTCGGAACTTGGCAAAGGCATCAAAGAGAGTGGAGTGTCTCGTGACAAGTTGTTTGTAACTACCAAGGTTGACAACGCAAACATCAACGACATCGCCGGGGCCATCAAGACCAGCCTCAAAAAGTTACAATTGGAATACGTCGACTTGTACGTTTTACCCTCTGCGTTTCATCATATGATTTTCTGATCAACCCAGGTATCTCCTTCATCAGCCATGGTTCGCCCGTTCAGACAAAGAGCTTCAGAAGGCTTGGGCGGACATGGAGGCTGTGCAGCAAGCCGGACTTGCTAAAAGTATCGGTGTCTCCAACTTCCAACCCGACCACCTTACTGCAGTGCTCAAGACTGCAAAGGTTGTTCCGGTTTGTAACCAAATTGAGTTTCACCCATACTTGCAACAGACAGAGCTACTGAATTTCCACAAGCAACATGGCATCGCTACCACAGCATATGCGCCACTGACTGCAGCAACAAAGGCAAAGCCAGGTCCGCTGGATGACTATGTTGGCCGATTGTGCAAGAAGTATGCCGTTTCCGAAAACGAGATTTACCTTCGATGGTGCATCGATCAGGACATTGTCCCAATCACGACGAGTTCCAAGGAGCAGAGACTGAGTGATTATCTGAGGGCTGTAACGTTCAAATTGACGCCTGCAGAAATCAAGGAGATCGTAGAGCTTGGTCAGAAGAAGCACTTCAGAGGGTTCTGGCAGCAGCAGTTCGCCGAGTGACAGAAGATCTGTCTAACATGGGGCGTTCAGCAAGCTATTAACAGCAGAGGATACTGAGAAACATCAAGACAACTGAATAGCTCCTATTTTATGGACGCGTGAGACGAAATATATGAATGTGAATTATCCCCAGGGGTTTCTGCGACGCCTAGATGGTGTGCAGGACATTGATACATAGCTGGGGGCTTGTTAGCACGTGACGTTGCTGTTCTAGCCGTCTTGGCGCGTACCCCAAATCTTCGATACTGCGCGCGCTTGCATCACCAAGCTCCCCACGCCCTCTCACCTCACACTACAACCCAACACGTCTAGCCTTCTACTGCAACGCCGTTGTACGCGCGCCTTGAGGAAATCCTTACTCACATTTCCCCGAACTTGTGAGCCTGCGGCAGAGCCGATTCAGTCACGATACCGCAATAGAGTCGCGACGGTTTTGCACGCACATCACCCGCCATCATGTCAGGTGCAGCCACCAAGGCCAAGAAGATATCCAAGAAGAGCATCTATCGCCGGGCGAAGAAGAAGCAACAGCGCGCTGTGAGTAGTACCGTCACCGTCGAGCCAGCATATGACAAGATACTAATACAGGGCCAGGAGACACCTTCTCAGGCTGGAGAGTCTGCGCGTGAGAGCAAATCTCCAGCTCCCGAAAGCGACTCGATCAATGAAGCACAGGCGGTGAAGTCCCCGGATCTCGTCGTCGTCGATGACATCTCCAATCAATATGATCTCGACGATCCAACTTTTGAGATGTACAAGAGTGTCTTTGAAAAATTCAGGGAGCCTACAGAAGAGGAGGCGGCTACCAAAGACGAGGAAAAGGCAGAAATCATCTATTCAGATGACGACATCCCAGACGAAGAAGACGATAGCAAGCCTAAGCTGTCAAAGAAGCAAAGGAAGCAGATGAACAAGCTGTCGGTGGCGCAATTGAAATCGCTAGTTCAAAAGCCCGAGCTCGTCGAATGGACAGACGTGTCCTCGTCGGACCCGCAGCTACTCCTCTCTCTTAAGGCCGCAAAAAACGTCATCCCAGTGCCTGCACACTGGTCTCTCAAACGCGAGTATCTCTCTTCAAAGCGTGGAATAGAGAAGCCGCCTTTCGCCCTGCCCAAGTTTATTCAAGAGACTGGTATTGCAGAGATGAGAGACGCCGTGCTGGAGAAGCAGGCCGAGATGACGATGAGGCAGAAGCAACGTGAGCGTGTACAGGGAAAACTTGGCAAGCTCGATATTGATTACGCCAAACTATACGATGCTTTTTTCCGACGGCAGACTAAGCCAGAGTTGACTCGCTATGGTGAAGTTTACTTCGAAGGCAAGGAATTCGAGACGAACCTCTTGAACCTTAAGCCTGGTGAATTGAGCGAAGAGCTGAGAGAAGCACTGGGTATGGCGCCTGGTCACCCACCACCATGGCTCATCAACATGCAGCGTTTTGGTCCACCAACCTCATATCCAAACATGCGCATACCTGGTGTCAATGCTCCCATTCCTCCAGGCGCTTCCTGGGGATTCCAGCCCGGTCAATGGGGTAAACCGCCCACAGACGATGCAGGCAAGCCGCTGTTTGGTGGAGATCTATTTGGCACGAGCATCCTTGAAGAGCAGCAACAACCTACACACGTCGGAGAACCTGTCGAGCGTAGCATTTGGGGTGCCTTACGAGCCGAGGGCGAGAGTGAAGACGAAGAGAGTGATGAAGAGGAAGAAGAGGATGATGATGAGGAAGGAGGCGACGAGGAAGACGCAACGGGCATCCAGACATCCATGACTTCGGCTTCAGCTATGCCCTCCGAGATTGGTGGTATAGAAAGCATAGGAGGGGAATTCACTGTTCGGAAACAGCGCAAGGGTATCGAGACAGAAGAGCCAGGTGCGCCTCGGAGTGCCTTCACAGTACTCCCGGAAAAGAATATATCCGCTACTGGTTTCTTTGGTGGTGAGCATGCTTATGATCTCGATGCCGCCAAGCGTGACACACTCGGTCAAGCGCACAGGAAACGCAAGGCTGGCGACGTTGATATCTCTGTGGATGTGGATCAGTTAGCGGACAGTGATAAGCTTGACAAGGATGCGTTGAAGAGAGAGTATGAGGCACGACAACGTGCTGAAGCACAGGGACAATGGCAGAGCATTGACCAGGACGACCTGGCAGATATGATTGCAAATGAGAGTAGGAAGAACGAGGGCAGGAAGAGACAAAAGAAAGAAGAAGAGCGAAAGCCACGGCGTTGAGTGGTTGAGTGCGACAAGATCATGCTAAGGCAGCGGTAATTGGTGCAGGACTACGGGTCAAGGGTGGATAGCAGCCCTGGAACGCGGCTCATGAATGAGGAGCGATTGTACAGCGAGAGAGGTCGGACCGGCTGTTGAGAATTGGAGCAGCAAGGTGAGCCTGGCTGCGATACAATTTCCGCGGATGGATGAGTTTTGTACAAAAGACTAGAGCCTTGTCAAGGGCGGCGACATTTGAAGAGCTCATGGCATGGCAGGGTATGGCATGGCGAGTCGGCGTTTATCTCTACTGGAGGACATGGCATTGGAATACTCAGCATTGGGCGACGGCGTAACTTGCGGCAGCCAACGAAGGCGGCTAATTGAAAATAATCAAGATTGATGAATCTCTCGTGGACAAGATCTTACCATTGCTACTCTCAAGATGGAATCACACGCAAGATCAAAGTGCTAGGGGAAGTGAGGTCAAGATGTTACAGGACAAAAAAGCGGCGCAGGTCTCTCTCGCTCTCTCTGTATTGGAGAGCTGGCATACCTACTCTACAGCCCGGTCTGGTACACATGACTGGGGAACCCTCTCTTGACTAGTGACAGTCTAGCACGCGGTTCACGGATTCGCTGGGGCTGGTGGATACTTGGGGGGAACAGGCAGGGGCAGCGCCAACTCGGGGCACGTGACGGATCACCGCGCGCCGGCCTTGGCATGAATCTTCACTTTTCGCAGAGTCTCCCCCCACAACAAAACCAGCCAACCCATACAACTGCCATTACCGCGTCTGATCATCGGATAGCGGACTATATCGTAGCTCTCCAGTCCAACCCATCCTCGCTTCTTCGCTCGCTGGGACTGTCCGTCACACTCAAACAATGGACAGAGACCGCGAAAGGGACAGAGACCGAGGCGATCGAAGGTATGCATAGCCCGAACGCATTGGCGCTGAATTTCGAAAGGCAGGGCTGTCTCTTGATTGGCGCACATAGTGGTTTCTTTGTAGCTGACAAAGGCAACAGAGACGATAGGTTCTCCAACACGTATCGCCCTCGCTCTCCTATACCTCGCGCTCGATCTCCACGCGGCGACAGCTACCGTGCTGGCCGATCCCCTCCACGACGCGGCCTCGCTTCTGCTGATACATACACGCCCGGCAGTCGTGTATCCCGTCCTCGAAGCAGGTCGCCCGCATACAGACGACGGTCGAGGAGCCCACGTCGCGACGACAACTGGAGGGCACGACCACGCTCGCCGCCACGTCGCGCCTTTTCACGAGGACGGGATGAGCCTAGGAGAGATGATTACAGGAGCGAGCGGGCAAGGTCATCTCGGCGGGATACGTATGATTCTTACACACGCTCGCCACGTCCGCGCGAACGATCACCACCGCCTCGAGAGCGCGATGTTTCTCCAGCTCGGAGTCGCGGAGTGCGCTCGCCGGTGAGGTCCAGTCGCTACGAAGAGCCCCGGTCGCGAGTCAATAGGTATGATACACAGCCCGCGTACAAGCCACATTAACCAACTAATTTGCGAGAAGTCCTCCACGCCGCTACTCGCCTGCGCGAGACACTCGCGATTACCGACGTCGCTCTCCTTCGCCGAGACGCGAGCGTGCCGAGCCTTACGGCGCAGATACTTGGAGAGCCCGCAGGTCTCCTTCCCCAGCTCGTCCGACCTATGCGTCTAACGAGGCCTCGGGCAGGGACTCTGCCGCGACCTCACGTCGTTCTTCTCCACCACCCATTCATCCAAGCAGAGCGGCTCTCGTGGTCGAGGAGAAGCCTGCCAGGGAGCCTACTTCAGCACCTAGGTCACCTTATCGAGAGCGAGACAGTGACCGAGGTCGAGACTTAGTGCGTGAGCGTGAGCGCGAGCGATCACCCCTTCGTCGTAGAGACAGCCCTCCAACTGGACCGCGCGGGGATAGAGACTTTGCGCCACCAACAGGGCCGTCTTCACATCGCAACGGTGATAGCAGTTATTCTAGAGTCCCTCCCACCGGCCCTTCAAGTCGCAGTTATGCCTCGCCGGCGATCTCGCCCCCAGCAGGGCCATCAAATCCTACTACGCAAGCACCTCCGGCTTTTCCACGAGGCAGCAATCCCGTCTTAGCGGCGCCCACCCGTCCACGTGGTGGCGGGCGGGGCTTTGGCTCTTATGATGCTCCCCGCGACTTCTCTGGTGCCCCCCCTCGACGCGGATCCTGGGGTGGGGGCCCTCGTGGCGGTGGCTACTATGGAGGAGCTCCTTCTGGCCCACGTGGCTCTTCAAGCGGAGCTGCACCCTATGCGCCTAGTTTCCGTGGCTCGAGCAACTCTACTGCTACTACCTACCCACGAACTATGCGTTTCCGTGATCATCTCGCAGATCTACCCAAGGAGGTTCCTGGAGGTCAGAAGGCCCCAGAGCTGTATGACAAGAGTCGGATTCTAAAGTTGGAGGAGGAGGCTAGGAAATTGAGGGAGATGATTGAGCGAAAGGAGGATGCAAAGAGGCAGAAGCTCAGGGAGTGGGACAGTCTCGAACGAGATGCTGAGACAGCCCAATTAAGGGTTGATCTTGCAGAGTCCTCACTGCGGAGCCTAAATGGAGAGGGAGATAACAGCGGTGCCTTCTAGGAGAGGTCTACCGGCTGGTAATCATCGACCGCTTCCCGTATTGGTGGGCTTTGAGCATGAGAATTCGTTGCAGTGAACAGGGTCGAATTTTGTGTGGATAATCCTGCCATGTGCGCAGGCAGACTTGAGGTGATCTAGATTTGCATAGGGGTCTAGCATGTTGTTTTCTTCATGGCATAGCGGGCGTCCACTGCTTGGATGGGAGGATCGCTATGTGTAGATCTCGGTCCATTCCAGATAGCCTCAATTTCATCTTCAAACCTTGAATCAAATCATTTCTACGTGAACAAAAGAACTCGAGCCGAGTCCATGTTTTCTGAAAGCAAAAAGCACCACTGTTGAACCATGTACACTCTAAATTGAAATGTGCAAGTATACTTCCAGCAACGGTCACCCACCTGGTCGGAGTTGACGACTCTGCTGCGGATTACCGATTGGCTGGTGAGGGCCGGGCCCTACATCTGCAGTCCTGACTCGCCAACGCCAAATTATTCTTCGACTCGACTCTAGCAGCTAACTGTTACCTCCGAGCACTGAAACGCCCTTCAACTTCGCGCATTCGCGTCCCAGGCGCAAACATGGTGGGCAAGAAGGTGCGCTGCTCTGCACTGGCTTATAGTCCCTCGTATGGCTGATACAATCAATAGGAAGCTCCCAAACCCAAGCCAAAAGCTGCCCCGCGCGGGGCGGCGAAGGCGAAAGCTGCGCCGGCTGAGGTGCCCAAGGTGGACAGCGACGACGTCTTGGAAACAGGTGCCGTAGACGCAACTCCTCAGGTCTCAGCAGGCGAAGGAAAAGACGATTTCAAGCCAGAGGCTTCGACATCAGCGGAATCATCACGGAAACGACGGGCGCCGCTTACCCACGCCAAAGACGACTTTGCCGCCCTCCTCGAGCCATTCTATTACGGAAAGAGCCTGACCGAGCCGATCAATACGGCGCGCGACAAGTGGAACCTTCTCCCAGCCTTCCTCAAGACCAAGGGTCTGGTGAAGCAGCACGTCGACTCATACAACCACTTTGTGGACGTGGAGCTCAAGAAGATTATCAAAGCCAACAGATTCGTGCGCAGTGACTTTGACCCAAAATTCCTCCTCGAGTATGTCGACATCCGCATTCTATCGCCCAATCGACAAGAAGAAGATGATCTCGATCACCACCGTAGTACCATCACGCCGAACGAGTGTCGGTTACGCGACATGACATATGCAGCACCCATTGTAGTCGACATCATCTACACAAGGGGCAATGCCAAGGTCAAACGCACGGGGATCCGGATCGGAAGGATGCCAATAATGTTGAAGAGCAGCAAGTGCGTGCTTGCGGGCAAGAGCGATCGCGAAATGGCCGTCATGGAAGAGTGTCCGTTGGATCCTGGAGGCTACTTCATCACAAGAGGGCAAGAGAAAGTCATTCTGGTCCAGGAGCAGCTGAACAAGAATCGGGTCATTGTAGAAAGTGCAAAGGGAATTATGCAAGCCAGTGTCACGAGCTCGACCCACGAACGAAGAACCAAGACGTATGTGATACAGAAAAAAGGACTCATGTTCCTCCGGCACAATACTCTTTCCGAAGAAGTACCGATTGTTTTTGCGCTGAAGGCCCTGGGAGTGCACTCAGACAAGGAAATCCTTCTCATGGTGGCTGGCGATGACAGTGCATACCAAGACAATTTTGCCATCAATTTCGAGGCCTGCGCAAGAGAAAAGATACATACTCAGGAGAAGGCACTAGAATACATCGGGCACCGCGTGCGACTGGTCAAGAAACCTCTGGGCGCTTCACGCATGCGCAACTACCATCTGGAGGCAATTGAATGTCTCTCCAACGTTGTTCTTCCCCACGTTCCTGTGGAAGGCACGAACTACCGGCCCAAAGCTCTGTACATCGCACTCATGGCGCGCAGGGTACTCATGGCTATGCAAGATCCTAAGCTTGTTGATGATCGTGATTATGTCGGTAACAAGCGCCTAGAGTTATCTGGTCAGATGTTGTCGCTGCTGTTCGAAGATCACTTCAAGCGGTTCAATCATGACTTCAAGTTGAGCATTGACAAAGTACTGAAGAAGCAGAACCGGGCGCAAGAGTTTGACGCATTTACCCACTTCAGTGTTCACAAGAGTCAGATTACCATGGGCATCGAACGGGCGATTGCTACGGGTAATTGGAGCTTGAAGCGATTCAAGATGGACAGGGCTGGAGTTACGCATGTTCTGAGTCGACTCAGTTACATTGCTGCACTGGGCATGATGACCAGAATAAGTTCGCAATTCGAGAAGACGCGAAAAGTATCGGGTCCCCGTGCGCTGCAGCCATCTCAATTTGGTATGCTCTGTACCTCTGATACGCCCGAAGGCGAAGCCTGTGGTCTAGTCAAGAATTTGGCTCTGATGACGCACATCACTACTGAAGACGACGAAGAGCCGGTTCGCAAGATCATTTTCTTGCTGGGTGCGGAAGACATTTGCTCACAAACTGGAGAGGAGATACACTCAGAGGGTATATACAGCGTTTGCCTCAACGGTACGCCCATCGCTGTCACAGATACACCAAAACGATTCCTCAATAGTTTCCGGAAGCTTCGAAGGATGGGACGCATCTCGGAGTTTACCAGCATCCATATCAATCACGACTTCTGCGAAGTACATGTTGCTACGGACGAAGGCCGCATTTGTCGGCCGATGATTGTAGTGGAGAATCAGCACTCGAAGGTGACTTCCCGTTACCTGAAGGCTTTACGAAAGGGTACCATGGAATTCGAAGATTTCCTGACCAGAGGTCTTGTTGAGTACCTCGACACCAACGAAGAGAACGACACAAACATCGCCCTCAAGGAGGAAGACATTAACCAACATACTACACATCTCGAGATAGAACCATTCACTATTCTCGGCGCTGTAGCTGGCCTCATTCCATACCCTCATCACAACCAATCCCCACGTAACACCTACCAATGCGCCATGGGTAAGCAAGCCATTGGTGCCATTGCCTATAATCAGTTCAATCGGATCGACACACTGCTCTACCTCATGGTCTACCCACAACAACCAATGGTCAAGACACGCACCATCGAACTGACAAAGTACGACAAGCTCCCCGCCGGTCAAAATGCGACAGTTGCCGTGATGTCATACTCCGGCTATGATATCGAAGATGCTCTCATCCTCAACAAAGCCTCGTGTGATCGGGGCTTCGGCCGCTGTCAAGTCCTCAAAAAGCACGTCACCCCTTTAAAAACCTACGCTAATGGTACTTCCGATCGTATCAACGCCGGAGCCCTCAACAGCGAAAACCCATCCCATCAAGCCATTGGTCTGGACGGCATCGCCCAAGTCGGTGCCCGTATCGAAGCAGGCGACGCCTTCCTCCTGAAATCGATCCCACAGGACACGGCAGGCCCCGCATCAAACATCTACAAAGACAAGCCGGAAAAGTACAAAATGCCCGACTGCAGCTATGTGGACAAAGCCTGTATCACGGAAAACGAGGCAGGAACAACGCTGATCAAGCTTCTGATGCGCCAAACCCGCCGTCCAGAACTGGGAGACAAATTCTCGTCTCGGCACGGACAAAAAGGAACGACTGGACTAATTGTCCAACAAGAAGACATGCCCTTCAACGATCAGGGCATCAACCCCGACATCATCATGAACCCGCATGGATTCCCGTCGCGCATGACGGTAGGCAAGATGATGGAACTCCTCTCTGGCAAGGCCGGCGTGCTACGCGGAACACTCGAATACGGCACCGCGTTTGGGGGTTCCCGCGTCGAGGACATGTCGCAAGTGCTGGTGGAAAACGGCTTCTCGTACACGGGCAAGGACTACCTGACGAGCGGCATCACGGGCGAGGCGCACCAGTTCTACACCTTCTTTGGCCCGATTTACTACCAGAAGTTGAAGCACATGGTGCAGGACAAAATGCACAGTCGCGCGCGCGGACCGCGGGCGATTTTGACCCGGCAGCCGACCGAAGGGCGGGCAAGGGACGGTGGATTGAGACTGGGCGAGATGGAGAGAGACTGCTTGATTGCATATGGGGCTAGTCAACTCCTTCTCGAGCGGTTGATGATTAGTTCGGATGCGCACGATGTGGATGTTTGTGAAAAGTGTAAGTGGATTTTTTTTTCTTTTCCCTTGTTCCGTAGAATGGGGGAGAGAGAAATGGACTAACGGACAATCTCAGGTGGGCAAATGGGATACAGCGGCTACTGCAAACTTTGCGAGAGCGAAAAGGCGATTCGCAGGATTACGATGCCTTATGCGGCCAAGCTGCTAATCCAAGAGTTGGGCAGTATGAATGTCAAGGTTACGATTGGGCTAGAGGATGAGTTTCCTAGGGAGGAATAAGAAAATGGAGGAATGGATCATCCTGGACAAAGGGCATATCTGGCGTTGAAATATATATACATACATACATAGATATATAGCATAGCGTGGCGTTAAGGGAAGTACAGGTAGGCATGCATGTCGTAAGAAGTTTTTCCTTCGAGTGTGTGCATGACTGCTTGGTAATGATTATACCCAATGTATTATGAGAAGGAATCGTTAGTATACCATGTGAAATTATAGTGGGTCTAGTCTGACATGCCCGAGCCCTTCGGTACAAGCCATGTGTGGTAGACGGGCAACGTGTTTGGTTGAAATTCGAGAACAGCATTCCTACAGAGGCGCATGATCCTATTTCTCCCTGGATTTGCGACTCCAAATGCACAGCCTGATCAGTGTTTGACTACTAAGCTTATGGTGGAACGTGAAGAAACTGGTGCCTAAAGCAAACACCAATGCAGAGGTATCCGAGGGCTCGAGATAGTCTACGATTTGTAACCACAACTCGACTGGCACTCGCGATGCAGCCGATGACGTGCTTGCTACAGCCCCATCTGTCCGCCACTCATTGATTATGCGAATGAGGGTATTGACTGTAAGGTTGGGGACGAGGCCGTGGCGCTGGAGCGTGGGATAAATGGCGAGAGCAAGATTCATGAAGTTGTCCAAGCCCATGTGTGCATATAGCATGAGAAGAAGCTCGGCGGGTAGGCCATCAAAGGAGGCAGGATTCGATGGTGGTGGCGGCGGCGGTGGTGGCGGCGGTGCGCCAGGTGCGGTGGACATGTTTTGGCGTTTAGATTCTTCAATCGACGTGCGGTTTGCTGTGTTCCTCAGATGCGACTGAGAGCAGCCAGCGGTATATGTAGCCAGAAAGGAACCAAGCCCCGATAGCGACGGCAGAGATATATATAGCAACGGGGCCGAGCGATTGCGGTAGGACGTTGAGTATGAATGAGTCAAGGACTGTGTGTGTCAGCTGGAGAAGTCATGGCGTGGAGAGGAAGACACGTGCTGAGGTCTACGTGGACTGGAGGAGGGGATTCCATCAAGGTGCGATTTGTCGAGTAATAGGAGGCTGCTGCCTGCACGCGCAGGAACAAGATTGATCGTGGTGTTGTCGAGGTACCCGCCTGGGCGCTGGGGATGATTTGCGACTTTGCGTCTTGCCGTTGTCCACTATGCCGAGCCAGGGAGTGTAGGAGCGGTGGGGTATGGTATAGCTGGCTAAGGGTATAGGTATCGAGCCAAAAGTCGGTAGGTTGCTGGAGAGGGGGTCAGGACATGGTGGTTGGGGTGGACAAGCGCAAGCCAGGAGGAAGGAGCAGTCGGACTCACCGTGGCGGGCCAGCAAAGGCGCACCTCGTACCTCCTCCCCTCTTCGAGGTCGCGGAGCAGATACCAGCTCTCGAGGCCGCGGGGCAGCGACTCAGCGGGAAAGTGGACGGGGAGTTGGGTGGACAGGATGGAGTCCGATGGGGAGAGGACGTGAAGAGGCAGGTCGTGTAGGGTGGGATGGGCATTGGGAGGCGTCACAGGGCTGGGGCCTAGGAAGATGGTCTTCTCGACGTTGGCCTTGACTGTGCAGATGAAGTTGAGGAGGATGCAGGGCGGCAGGCCAGGCAGGATGCGCATTTTTTTTTTCTTCAGTTTCTTTTTGGTCTGGGGCGCGAGCGGTGGGCAGAAGCTGTTACAGTGGCAATGACAGTGACAGTGACAGTACCGGTAACTGACAATGACAGTGTGGATGTGGATGGGATTGGCGAGAAGGGGAAAGCAAAGCAAAGTAGCAAACTACCTACCCGATGCCTTCTGGCGTTCAGGTGGGCCAGCACAGTCCCATTGGGCAGTCCATGTTGGCAGGTTCTGGGTTGTTTGTTTGTTTGTTTGTTTGTTTGTTTGTTTGGCTGAGCTGGAGTGGAGTGGAGTGGTCTGTGTGGGCTGTTGGTCTGTACTGTAGGCAGAGATTTGTTGGATGCAGGTATAGGTACAGGTGTAGGTGTGTGTAGGTAGGTGTAGGTGTAGGTGTAGGTAGGTGTAGGTGGTATAGATGGTAGATGGGTATAGAAGGCTGTGTACGACACTTTATAATGTGTATGTAATCCGGTTTCCTATGTATTTGTACATGTATTCCGTCATGAATTTGCAGAGGGAAACAGGTCATAGGGCATAGGGCAGCTACTACCGTTTCAAGTGCTGCCGCTTCCAAAAGCGGGGCCGGACGGTCGTGATTGGCCAGACGACGGCCGTGTGCACCCTTACCGTCACGGCCACCACGTGC